CAACCACTGGATCCAACCACTGGATCAGAGTCCAACCATTGGATCACCGAGTCCAACCGCTGGATCAACCCCAACCGCGCCAGTCAGGTTCCGTGCCCTCAGCCCTGGGAGGACACCCCACTGTGCCACGCCCCCCCCATGCCACGCCCCACGCGAGCGGCCTCGCCCCTTTCCCGGCACTCACGGGGAGGTTGAGCTTGACGGCGTCGACGGGCTGCTGGAAGGGCCACGCGAACTGGTGCTTCCAGAGCGTCTTGAGCACCACCTTGAGCAGGTACTGCAGCTGGTTCGTCTGACGCTTCGGCTTGTTGGGGTTGGACGTCTCCGGCGGCGGGGGGTTGACGCCGACGCCCTGCTGGGGCTGGGCCTGGGCCGGCGTCGTGGACATCTGGGAGCTCTCCAGCCCGTCCCCCATCACCGGCAGGTTCCGCAGCCTCGTGCCGGGGCCGCTCTCCGCCGCCATGCTGTTGATCCCATTGCATTCCTCACCGGACACCCTGCGGGGACGGGAGGGGAGGACACTTCGTGGAATCACAGAATCAGCTGGGTTGGAAGGGACCTCTGAGATCATCCAGTCCAACCCTTGATCCAACCCCGCCGTGGTTCCCAGTCCAGGGCACTGATGCCACTTAAAAAGCACCAGGGACGGAGAATCCACCCCCTCCCTGGGCAGCCCATTCCAGTGCCTGATCACCCTCTCTGCAAAGAATTTCTTCCTGATATCCAACCTAAACCTCTTAAGACCCTGAGCCCTCTTGTCTTGCTGAGAGTTGCCTGGGAAAAGAGACCAACCCCCCCCTGGGTCCCCCCTCCTGTCAGGGAGTTGGAGAGAGTGAGGAGGTCTCCCCTGAGCCTCCTCTTCTCCAGGCTGAGCCCCCCCAGCTCCCTCAGCCTCTCACAGAATCACAGAATCCCAGAATCAGGGATTGGAAGGGACCTCTGAGATCATCCAGTCCAACCCTTGATCCAACCCCGCCGTGGTTCCCAGCCCATGGCACTGATGCCACATCCAGTCTCTTCTTAAACACCTCCAGGGATGGAGAATCCACCCCCTCCCTGGGCATTTCTTTACCCTCTCTGGAAAGAAATTCCTCCTAATATCCAACCTAAACCTCCCCTGGCACAGCTGAAGACCCTGAGCCCTCTTGTCTTGCTGAGAAAAGAGACCAATCCCCCCCCGGGCCCCCCCTCCTGTCAGGGAGTTGCAGAGAGTGAGGAGGTCTCCCCTGAGCCTCCTTTTCTCCAGGCTGAGCCCCCCCAGCTCCCTCAGCCTCTCCCAGAATCACAGAATCCCAGAATCAGGGATTGGAAGGGATCTCTGAGATCATCCAGTCCAACCCTTGATCCAACCCCGCCGTGGTTCCCAGCCCATGGCACTGATGCCACTTAAAAACCTCCAGGGACAGAGACTTCTAGGGGAAGGTTGAGCTTTGACAGGGACAGATTCACGTTTAACTCGTGGGATCTTCTGGGAGAGGGTTGAAGGTTCAACTTAGGGAGATCATTTTTAGGTAGGTCATCAGGTGGGTGATCTTTGCCTCAATAATCTTTGGGTCGACCAACCTTTGGGTCAACGAGTCTTTGGGTCAATAAATCTTTGCATCGACCGATCTTTTCATCAATGAATCTTTGGGTCGATCAATGTTTGGGTTGATCAATCTTTGGGCTGATAAATCCATGGGTTGACCAAACTTTGGGCTGTCCAACTTCTGAGTCAATAAATCTTTGGGTCAAAAAATCTTTGGGTCAACCAATCTTTGGGTCAATGAATCTCTGGGCTGATAAATCCCTGGTTTGACCAATCTTTGGGTTAATAAATATTTGGGTCAATGAATCTTTGGGTCAATGAATCTTTGGGTCAACCAACATTTGGGTCAATGAAGCTCTGGGCTGATAAATCCCTGGCTTGACCAACCTTTGGGTCAACCAATCTTTGAGTTAATGAATCTTTTGGTCAATAAATCCTTGGGTTGACCAACCTTTGAGTCAATAAATCTTTGAGTCAATAAATCTTTGAGTCAATGAATCTTTGAGTCAATAAATCTTTGAGTCAATAAATCTTTGAGTCAATAAATCTTTGAGTCAATAAATCTTTGGATCGATAAATCTTTGAGTCAATAAATCTTTGAGTCAATGAATCTTTGAGTCAATAAATCTTTGAGTCAACCAATCTTTGGGTCAATCAATCTTTGGGTCAATCAATCTTTGGGTCAATCAATCTTTGGGTCAATCAATCTTTGAGTCAATAAATCTTTGGGTCAATAAATCTTTGGGCCAATGAATCTTTGGGTCAATGAATTTTTGGGTCAATGAATTTTTGGGTCAATGAATTTTTGGGTCAATAAATCTTTGGCTCAATAAATCTTTGAGTCAATAAATCTTTGGGTCAATGAATCTTTGGGTCAATGAATTTTTGGGTCAATGAATTTTTGGGTCAATAAATCTTTGGCTCAATAAATCTTTGAGTCAATAAATCTTTGGGTCAATGAATCTTTGGGTCAATGAATCTTTGGGTCAATGAATCTTTGAGTCAATAAATCTCTGAGTCAATAAATCTTTGAATCAATAAATCTTTGGGTTAAGTTCATCAATAATCCTCGGGGACTTCATTTCACCACCACTCCAAGACCAGAAATTTGGGAAAAAGGGGCATTTCTCAGGCTGTTTTCCAGGAGGTTTTTCCCGGAAGTTTTTTCCTGGAAGTTTTTCCCCCCGTTACCTTGTAGGATACATTGCCATGGAATTTTGCCCCGGAAACCGCAGCGGAGTCAGAAGTCGCTTGGCTTGTCCATCTATCGGCCGTGGCTCCGGGCACAGATGCCTCCAGATCCCAAATCTGGGAGAACAAACACGCCCTGAAATCCCGGGAATGAGGGAAAACCCCAGGGAACTGTCTGTGTTAATCCCAGGAACTGACCCCAAGCATCAGAAATTAGGGAAACCCA